GCAACAGGAAGTGGCCTTTAACGAAGCAGTGTGGCAAATGCACAGCCGCACTGGCTGAGCTGCAGAAAATGAAACGCGGCCGCCTCAGACCCCGACGTGCTACAGGTGCGAGGGCCCGCCCATCGCTGCTTGCAGCTTTAATTTTTTTTTTTTTTTTTTTCTGCAAAGTAAGTGCCATTTTCGGGGCCGCAACATGCTCAAAAACTCACCAAATTTGGCACGCATGTCAGGACTGGTGAAAAATTTCGTATTTTGTGGGTTTCGCAGATGGGCGGGGCAAAATGGCACGCTAGCGCCACCTAGAAAATTGGAAAAAATTAGCCCCTCGTCCACGTTCAACCTACATGCACGAAATTTGGTGGGGACGTGTATCATATCAAGACGCACAAAAAAGCCTCAAGAACCCATACCCTAAACTCGACAGGAGGTCCGCCATTTTGAATTTGGCGGCCATTTTTGGACGATTTACAGACTCCGTACTTTAACGAACTCCTCCTAGGGATTTAGTCGGATCGACTTAAAATTTCTGCTGTGCCTTCTAAAGGCATTGACGATGTAAAGTTGTGCTATCTGCGCGTTTTCGTCGATGGGCGTGTCCGTGGCGTCGAAGATTCGCCATGAAACAGGAAGTTGTAGTAACTTGGCTGTAAATGCCCAGATCTGCACGAAATTTTACACATTTGACAAGAGTCACGCCCTGAACAAATCTACATGCCGACATTCACCCACAGTCATAGCGCCACCTGCTGGCAACAGGAAGTGACCTTTAACGAAGCAGCCCCCGCCGCTTGTTTGACCGACATGTACGAAATTTCTGTGGTACATCTACCATGACCAGACGCACAAAAAAGCCTCAAGAACCCATACCCTAAACTCGACAGGAAGTCCGCCATTTTGAATTCGGCGACCGATTTGGGACGATTTACACACTCCGTACTTTAACGAACTCCTCCTAGGGATTTAGTCGGATCAACTTCAAATTTCTGCTGTACCTTCTAAAGGCATTGACGATGTAAAGTTGTGCTATCTGCGCGTTTTCGTCGATGGGCGTGTCCGTGGCGTCGATGATTCGCCATGAAACAGGAAGTTGTAGTAACTTGGCTGTAAATGCCCAGATCTACACGAAATTTTACACATTTGACAAGAGTCCCGCCCTGAACAAATCTACATGCCGACATTCACCCACATTCATAGCGCCACCTAGTGGCAAGAGGAAGTGACATTTAACGAAGCAGCCCCCGTCGCATGTTTGACCGACATGTACGAAATTTCTGTGGTACATCTACCATGTCCAGACGCACAGAAAAGTCTCTTGGAGCGATGCCCTAAACTCAACAGGAAGTCAGCCATTTCTAATTTTACCGCCATTTTTGGATGATTTACTCATTACGTACTTTAACTAACTCCTCCTAGGGCTTTAGTCGGATCGCCTTCAAATTTCTGCTGTGCCTTCTAAAGGCATTGACGATAAAAAGTTGTGCTATCTGCGCGTTTTCGTCGATGGGCGTGTCCGTGGCGTCGATGATTCGCCATGAAACAGGAAGTTGTAGTAACTTGGCTGTAAATGCCCAGATCTGCACGAAATTTAACACATTTGACAAGAGTCCCGCCCTGATCAAATCTACATGCCGACATTCACCCACAGTCATAGCGCCACCTGCTGGCAACAGGAAGTGGCCTTTAACGAAGCAGTGTGGCAAATGCACAGCCGCACTGGCTGAGCTGCAGAAAATGAAACGCGGCCGCCTCAGACCCCGACGTGCTACAGGTGCGAGGGCCCGCCCATCGCTGCTTGCAGCTTTAATTAGGGCCCGAGCACTAACAGTGCGAGGACCCTATTGAAACTGTTAGGATTATTTTTTTCTTTTTTCTTTTTTCTGCAAAGTAAGTGCCATTTTCGGGGCCGCAACATGCTCAAAAACTCACCAAATTTGGCACGCATGTCAGGACTGGTGAAAAATTTCGTATTTTGTGGGTTTCGCAGATGGGCGGGGCAAAATGGCACGCTAGCGCCACCTAGAAAATTGGAAAAAATTAGCCCCTCGTCCACGTTCAACCTACATGCACGAAATTTGGTGGGGACGTGTATCATATCAAGACGCACAAAAAAGCCTCAAGAACCCATACCCTAAACTCGACAGGAGGTCCGCCATTTTGAATTTGGCGGCCATTTTTGGACGATTTACAGACTCCGTACTTTAACGAACTCCTCCTAGGGATTTAGTCGGATCGACTTAAAATTTCTGCTGTGCCTTCTAAAGGCATTGACGATGTAAAGTTGTGCTATCTGCGCGTTTTCGTCGATGGGCGTGTCCGTGGCGTCGAAGATTCGCCATGAAACAGGAAGTTGTAGTAACTTGGCTGTAAATGCCCAGATCTGCACGAAATTTGACACATTTGACAAGAGTCCCGCCCTGAACAAACCTACATGCCGACATTCACCCACAGTCATAGCGCCACCTGCTGGCAACAGGAAGTGACCTTTAACGAAGCAGCCCCCGCCGCTTGTTTGACCGACATGTACGAAATTTCTGTGGTACATCTACCATGACCAGACGCACAAAAAAGCCTCAAGAACCCATACCCTAAACTCGACAGGAAGTCCGCCATTTTGAATTCGGCGACCGATTTGGGACGATTTACACACTCCGTACTTTAACGAACTCCTCCTAGGGATTTAGTCGGATCAACTTCAAATTTCTGTTGTACCTTCTAAAGGCATTGACGATGTAAAGTTGTGCTATCTGCGCGTTTTCGTCGATGGGCGTGTCCGTGGCGTCGATGATTCGCCATGAAACAGGAAGTTGTAGTAACTTGGCTGTAAATGCCCAGATCTACACGAAATTTTACACATTTGACAAGAGTCCCGCCCTGAACAAATCTACATGCCGACATTCACCCACATTCATAGCGCCACCTAGTGGCAAGAGGAAGTGACATTTAACGAAGCAGCCCCCGTCGCATGTTTGACCGACATGTACGAAATTTCTGTGGTACATCTACCATGTCCAGACGCACAGAAAACTCTCTTGGAGCGATGCCCTAAACTCAACAGGAAGTCAGCCATTTCTAATTTTACCGCCATTTTTGGATGATTTACTCATTACGTACTTTAACTAACTCCTCCTAGGGCTTTAGTCGGATCGACATCACATTTCTGATGTGCCTTCTAAAGGCATTGACGATGTAAAGTTGTGCTATCTGTGCGTTTTCGTCGATGGGCGTGTCCGTGGCGTCGAAGATTCGCCATGAAACAGGAAGTTGTAGTAACTTGGCTGTAAATGCCCAGATCTGCACGAAATTTTACACATTTGACAAGAGTCCCGCGTTGAACAAATCTACATGCCGACATTCACCCACAGTCATAGTGCCACCTGCTGGCAACAGGAAGTGACCTTTAACGAAGCAGCGTAGCAAATGCACAGCCGCACTGGCTGAGCTGCAGAATATGCAACGCAGCCGCCTCACACCCCGACGCGCTACAGGTGCGAGGGCCCGCCCATCGCTGCTTGCAGCTTTAATTTATGTTTTTTTTTTCGCACAAAAAGTAGTCTCGTCGCTTGATAAACTTATAATTGAGCCGCTGTAGGCACATGGAATATTTAAACATTTTCTTTAATGACTTTATGGGCCGTCAAGAGTTCCTTAGGCAGTCTATGTAGGACTGATCCAGCTCTCAGATTCAATCAAAAATATCTTTATTTGTGTTCCGAAGATGAACGAAGGTCTTACGGGGTTGGTACAGCATGGGCGTGAGTAATTAATGACTTAATTTTCATTTTTGGGTGAACTAACCCTTTAATAAAACATCATTTAAAAAAAAGCAAATAGATCCTATAGAATTAGTCAATTACAGAGCAAACTCGAATTTACCTTTTCTGTCAAAGATACTATAAAATGCAGTATCTTCACAATTATGTCCCTTAGTTGAAAGAAATGGTATCTGTGATTATTTTCAATCAGGATTTAGACCGTATCATAGTACTGAGACAGCTCTCATTAGAGTTACAAATGATTTGCTCTTATCATCCGATCGTGGTTGTATCTCTCTATTAGTGTTACTTGATCTTAGTCCTGCATTTTACACTATCGACCATAACATTCTTTTAAATAGACTAGAAAATGATGTTGGCATTAGTGGAATTGCACTAGCATGGTTTAAATCATACTTATCTGACCATTATCTGTTTTTAGCAAGAGATGTCTTATTAACTTCCTCACGTAATAACCTAGAATACTGTCTAACACTTGATGGCTGCTCTGTCAAGTCCTCGTTGTCGGTTAGGAACCTCTGGTGTGGTCTATAATACCAATCTTTAATTTGAAATTCATGTGTCTAGTATCTGTAAAACCAAATTTTTTCACCTTCAAAATATATCAAAATTACATCAAATGCTCTCTATTAAAAATGCAGAACAATTATTCATGCGTTCATAAAAATATATCTAAATTATGTCATATGCTCTCAATTTTAAATGCAGAACAATAGTTTACGTTAATGACATCAAGGCTAGATTATTGCAATGCTCTAATGGGTGGTTGCCCTACATGTTTAATAAATAAACTATAGCTGGTCCAAAATGCAGCCGCAAGAGTTCTTACCCGAACCAGGAAGTATGACCATATTAGCCCGGTTCTGTCAACACTGCATTGGCTCTCTATTAAACATTGTATACATTTTTAAATATTGCTGATACTTACAAAGCACTAAATGGTTTAGCTCCCCAGTACTTGAGTGAGCTTTTAACGCATTATAGACCTTCACATCTACTGCAATCACAAAATTCCGGCCAGTTGATAATACCTAGAATATAAAAATCGACTGCTGGTGGTAGATCCTTTTCCTATTTAGCACCAACACTCTGGAACAATCTTCCTAACATTGTCTGGAAAGCAGACATACTCTGTCAGTTAAAAACTAGACTAAAAACCAATCTCTTTGGCCTAGTATACCCATAACACATTATAGACTTCTATAATTCGATGTTAGGCGACATAGTTTAGATCAGCCGAATCCTGATGTACCTGGTACATCATAAGAAGGATGTTGTCTATGCTAATATTAGTCTCTGTGTTTATATTGAGATTTACTGCAGTCCGCCGGATCCAGGTCATGTCCAGATCTGATGATGGACCATTGCCTGGACATGATGAAAATGCAGTTTTGAAGTGTCAACTATTCTCTCCCCTGTGAATTCCTTTCTCACTTGGAGGACCTACGGACTGCGCTTTATTAAAAAAAAAAAATAAAAGCACTTTATAAATGAAGATGACTTGACTTGACTCTCAATCTGCTCCTATTGGATAGGTTTTATCAGAGTCAAATACATCATATTGTTGTTTGAATTGGTTTTTTATTTATTTATTTATTTTTGCAAACTGTTAATTACAAATTAAAAATTAAATTACAAATTAAAATCTGCAAACTTAAACTTTAACCCACAGACCAGCAGTCTTTGTTACATTTTCGGTAACACTTTACAATACGTGTGCACTAATAAGCATTAATTCATGCTTAACTAATACACAGATAATACGGAATTAATGTGTAACTAATGATTATTTAAGCTATTAATTAATGATTACCACATTAGGAACTAATTAAGAGTCTGTAAGGTTAATGTATTAGTTCATACATGAATTGTTATTAATTAAATATGTAATTGTGGATTCATTCCATAATAACTCATTTTTTTAACTAATAGTGTTAATTACCAGAATGAGCCAACGCCTTGTATTTCAACTTCCAGGTAATATGACAGGTACACTAATATGCGTTAATACATGATTACTTACTTCATTGTTAGTGCAAATTCATGTGCAAATTACTACAATTACTAAATGACAAGTTAATAATGATGTGCCCCAACAAGTAAAGTCATAGCACAATGATACCTTTGCAAATCATTAGCTAATGATTAATTAAAGCAGACAACTGGAAGTTGAAGTGCATAGCTTTGACTAATTGTGATAATTCACACATTAATTTACACTATTAGTTAAGAAAATATGTTATTAAGGAATTAATACACAATGACACATTTAATTAATAGCAATTCATGTATTACTTAATCTATTAATCATATTGACTCTTTCGTAGTTGCTGATGCAGTAATCATCAATTAATGGTTTAGTTCTTCATTAGTTATACATTAACTCATGATTATCTGTGCATTAGTTAAGGATGAATTAATGCACATTAGTGCACCTGTATTGTAAAGTGTTACCACATTTTCTATAGCCTGACCCTGGACAGACTCTTCTTTAATGGGACAGACTCTTCTTTAATGCATGAGAACAGACTCTAGAATGTGTAGGCCTATTTAAAAAAGGGTTGACAATGACTTCACTTGAAAAGACTATCACGACAAAGAGCAAAAACAGCTTGCTGCTGTAAGGAGGCGATAAACTAAGATCAATAATTTAGATTCTCTTTCTTTTTCTACTTATCTCAACACAAAGGCTTTAAAAAGTGCTACACTAACCAGGAGAGACAGGACATTTTAAAAGCTGCGACGGAAACCTTACATTTTTTAAGATGTTGCATTAGCAAGTGCTACAAAGTGATATTTTACGACAACACGTAAGGGGCAAGGACAGCATATTTTTTTGTTGAAAAAGTGGAAAGTCTGGAAGCCTTGTACTTGTATTACTACTGACTAAAAAGTTTGAGAGCTGTTAACTAACTGAGTAATTTAAATTCACAGAGTGAATTTGGTGAAAACACTAAAAAAAAGTATGCTATTTATATTAATTTGCAAAAATAATCAAAGACCAAATACCTAATTGTTTTTTTTTTGTGATGAGAAATTATGAAAAGCATATGGAACATTGACAAGTAAACCATGCACTAACAAATATGCAATGCAATTATGCCCTTGCCCATAATGGTCCAGAATCATCAACTTTCTTGTCCCTGGGTGCTCTAGCTAACAACTTCTCTACAACATGCCATCCCCGCAGGCAAACACAATGAGAGTGACAAGCCTTCATTAAAGCATCCAAATTCAAATGTTATTCTTAGCCTGGAGAGCAGTGAAGCCATATTAAATGAATTCATATGAGACAGGGCCTTGAAGAGAACAAAGTGACACCCCGTTCCAGAACTAAAGTATATCTAGTGTGCCACCACATAGGCCCCATTTTAAGTGCCACCTTCATTATCAGCACAATCCATGTGAACAAGCACTATTATGAATTTAAAACTCTTCTTAGATTTACAGTTCTGATAAAGGCTTATGTATCTTGTAATTCGAATGCTTGCGATGACAGACCATAATAGGGTGAATAAGTGATCCAGTTAGTTTTTGCTGAGATTTAACACCTTATGTGAGTGAAAAAAAAAAAAAAAAAAAAAAAAAAAAAACTTGTGACAGGAAATCAATGGAAAGCTACGGTTTTTGGCACTGCATTTTAACCACGCAAGATACAGTACAATGTATCCAGACTATTGCACATGATGAATTAGCAAAATATCACTGCGCTATGTTATTGGCTTTTTGGCAAGAGCAGTCACCGGGTAAAATGATTTCATAAATATTTCTAAGCCATGTACGTACTGCAAATGTGAAATTCATGTATGTTTAATGCATCAGGCGTGTTGCCTTTAAACTCTCAACACAGCAGAGACAGCAAAAACTTACTTTAATACTTTAATAAATTGAATTCGGTTCAGTAGGGCACAGATCACCATCTAGCATTGATTTGGAAATCTTTTCAAGCACATAGTAGCTTCTTACAATCATTTGCTGCGGTGCTTCAAGAATCGCCATTTCTCATCCATTCAAGTATAAGCCTTTTCTTTTTGTTATGGGAAACCTCAAGGTTATGGCGTTCTGATAAATTAGCCGTAATATGATGATAAAGTACCTTTTTTCTGTAGGTTGAAGGCCATTTTGAAGATTCGGGATGAGGTTAAAGTTTTGGAGAGATGAAACCAATCCTAACTCGGAGATGACCAATCTCTCATTGTGACTGTGCACGAGCAGCCCAGGTGCTGTGTCGAAATGGCTGGTGGATTGGTCTACTCTGTCTATGGCAGCTGAACACATTGCTTTGGACAGCTCCTGGCCAAGCTAGTCACAATTCAATTCCCTGACTCATTCATCAAGCACTTGGGGTGTTTGGGTCACAGGCTGGCCAGCTCCCAATCTTCCCGTTCATTCGGAGTCCCCCATCGATAAGAAGGCTTTAGTCTACATCTGCAAGCTCATCTGAAAGGGCTAAAGAATTCAGGCTGGATTTGTTTACCATTTTGTTTTGTGAAAAATCCATGTACGTATGTTGCAAGTGTGTGGTGTAATAAAATTAGATTACTCTCATTATAATCAACTAAGCTGTCTAAACTACAAACAGCCAATTGATTCCATTGTAGACTGGATGCGGAAGTTGTTCAACATGAATCATGGACTTGAGACTACAAGAGTTGAAATCATACCTCATTGTGTAGAGAAGAGTTCCATTGTCTACCAGTCGCAGAAGTTTATTAGGTGTAGTCATATTGTGGGCTACTGACTTCTTCCCATTGTGGAAGAAGGTATCAGGAGTCCAGATCTTGCTGGCGAGCAAGTTGTTAAGTGGAAGGACCTGCATAGGCCCATCAAACTTCAGCCTCTCATCCCGCCAACTTTGCCGGAAGAACACATCAATCGTGTACTCCTAGAGGAGAAAAAAAAAAAAAAAAGAATGAGTCAAGACTTTCTGACAGCCCTTTTAAAACTTCACTTCACCCCCCAAGTTTCCACATTTCACATGATGTAATGTCCTCTTGGTGAGACAGCATGCGCTGGTGTGTGAAGCACTTCACCAATCTTGGAAAATGACTCAAGAGCGGGAAAAGGATTTTGACTTTTGCTCAGATTTGACATTTAACAGATTTTCCTGTTTGGCTGGCCTCGATTGGTCGAGATGCTTTTCTCAGTTGTACACTTCAATAATTCATCGCACTTTAAGGAGAGATTCAGTCTTGTCGGTGTGAGATCCTTAAGGCTCCTTCAAAAGTTCAAACTCGAATGATTGCGTTTTCACAGCTGTCGCTGGAGGGATGAAACAAGCTTTTTTCCAAGAGTTATCTCTCTGACCATATTGCCAACATGGAACAGGGGACACTGTCCTCAGTAAACCTTTGCTTAGTTGGGAGTAGGAATCATCTCAAATCCAGTGTCTTTTCCACTGATGAGAATTGCTCATGTTTTATAACCTCCATTATTGATGATGCAATCCTCTACATGTTCTCTATGGGAACAAACATCAAAAGAAATCGTATCTGCTTGCATTTAATAAGTCATCTAATGTAGTGGCAAAAATGGTTTAAAAATGAATGTTGAAATCTTCCGAGGACAGTATTAATCATTGAGAATCCTCTATCACTGATTATTGTAATTGAGTAAGTAACAGCAAACAAGGACTCTTTTTTATGTTCTGAATTTCAACCGAGAACTATAAGGGTTTTTTTGTCACGCTTCACAAGATCCAATTTGTTTGGGAAGAAACAGACACAAATCTATGTTGCCAAGTCAATCACAAATGTCAAGAAGCTCCTGCACAAAGGCAGAAAACGAGTCAGATAAAACCACTCATTCCAAATACATTCTAGCCTTCAGTAGAATGTTTTTTCCCACAATCATTCTCACAGTTGCTCACTTAATGATGGTTTATGGAGTTTGCAGCATTAAAACATGTATGCTCTTCATGTGTGTGTCTCTGTACATCATTTATTCAGGAAGCTTCAGACTTCAATCTGAAGTTGTCAGATTAAAATTCTGTGGGCACTTCTTTTCCAAAGAAGTAGTCTCCACACCATGAGAAGTAAGGAAGAAAGTGAAAGCTGACATCAAATGACGTCTACATAAAAAAAAAAGCACACGAGTAAGTTCAAGCAGGGTTTTCATAATCAAATGCAATGCTTTTAAGACCTGAACATAAAATGAATACCATTTCACAGCAGAATAATCCCAAACAATCTCAAAATGCATCATGTATCACAGATTGTTTTTCGTCACTAAGACAATCTGGGACACACTTTCGATAACGCCTTGGAACTTAACACAGCTTATCAGCAAAACAGGAAGTGGAGCTGGAGCGGAGTGATTAAAGAATGCTTTGAGCAAGGAAGGGAAATTACTGTCGCTCCACTACACTAACATACTTTGCTCCGAGTCCCCTAAACTCACCAGAGTGAGTCTTGTATCTTTTCATCCTCAAATTTAAGACCTCTACAAATGATTAATACAACTAAATATTTGTAAAACACTATTTAAGACTATTTACAGCCTTTTTTTAAATAATTTTTAATATATTTTAATACTGTTTAAGGGCTCAATGTAGCATAGACATCTGTTTAAAAATTGGGTCATGGAGTGTGCAGAAATATACAGTAAAATACTGTTTCTATTTTCTTTTTTGAAGTTTTAAATTAGATCCATCCATGTGGTAAGATGACCCCTGGCAAAAGTTGAGGCACCATAGTGGTGGTCATTATTTATTCCTTATTATAATTCATGGATATATTATAATAATTATAAAAATTAGATGCACATTTCAAAACTATTTCATTCTTCATCATGACCTAAAGGCAATCTAATCATTCAATCTAATTAATGATTTTAATTCAACATATAGGCCTACTGGTATATATAATTAATAGAATTGCATTTTATTCAGATGTAACTATTGTTTATTTTGTCTTTCATTATTGAACTAAACTGTTTGGTAGAGAGAATGGAATACCGTTTTGTATCTTTGGATATGCACTTTACAAAATAGCACACAGACCATGTTGCACACTGAATATGTCTTTTATTTTGAGTAAGTGTCTTACATAGATTGTGAATGTTCTTGCTAGAAACTGTATAAGACTTCAGCACATGCATAATATAAATTAAATGATAAATTATGCATAATACTGCATAGAGGGGTTATTCAAGACAATATTTCTGATCAAAATAACCCTTTAACCCATCAAAATTACAATTTGAAAGATGAAATACTCTCCTTCGGCTCAGGATTTTTTTGTTTCCTTTTTGCATATATTTTATAATAATAATATTTGTTTATAGCAAGTACTTACAAGACTGATTTTCCCTGTACGTAGATGTTCACTTACAAATCATCACTAACATGGTTTCCGCTGCATGATTTCATAAAGTGACAAATAAATACAGCATTATTGCTTCAAGGCAAATTGAAATGGGACAAAAAACAGAAGTTTACTGTTCATGAGAATGATTGTGACATAGTGTTGGCAAAGAGCAATGGTCACTTTAGAATGTGATTGGACAAGCACAGATTTTTCCACAATACAACCCAATGAGAGTTGTACAGAATCCTGTTGCTTTGGTCAGGCAGGAGACACTTTATGTTTTGTTATGTGGATAAAGCACAAGCAGTTAGTGCACATTACCCAATGTGCCATGTAGTGGTGATCATATGGGCATGGGGATTACATTTTCTTTCTTTTTTTCTTTTTTGTTGCTAATGACACTTTTGCAGAATAATGCAAAGGTTTTCAAAATGGGGGTTAATGAGATTTGACAGAAAAGGTGATTTTATACATTTTTTTCATTTACTTATAAATCTAAGATTTTTTTATGTTAAAATATCCAGTTACTAAAACCCCATTTTATTGTTTATTGACTAGCATTGGTATTCCATTTATGGGTTTAACTCCCCCAAAAGTGTAAACATTGAGCCCCTCAGGCACCATCAAAACATTGAGAGCTCAGGACCGCTCAGATCTGTTAATCTCTTTATAGCTCAACTCATTTCAAGAGTTTGTGGTATGGCTACTGTAGCAGATTGAGCCAGTGGGTTTATATCCGGTGTGGGACCATGACTGGCGCATTACATAGCAAAAGAAATTTAGCTTCGGTTGCAGAAATGCAGGCCAAGTTTGCTGCATTTAGTCCATAAAAAATTTAACAGCCCTTAAAAATTTTTAAAAAAAAATAAAAATAAAGATCAAGTATAATTTCAAGTATACTTTATGTAGTAAGTATACTAATACCAATGTTCTACTTGTGAGTGTACTAGTTTTTCAATATTATTTAATAAACTAAATTGGCTGACCTATAGTAAAATATCCTTTTAAGTATACTTTAAGTGTAACAGTATTAAATGTTGAGTACACAATTAGTTTAAAACAAAATATTTTGTTTGTAATGCAACTACTGTATACTTCAAGTGAACATAGGTATACTGAATGTTTACTTGTCAAATAGTTTGTAGTATACTCTCAGTAAACTACTAGTTTAGTAGTTTTATACTGCAAGTTTTTTTTTTTTTTTTTCACATCTGTGGCTTGCTCCCCGAGCACTTGTCAGCTTGTTATGGAAATGGAGAGGATCCAATCGCCATGAGGTGGAGTCGGGAAATGAGAGCCAACTGAGAGCCATCAGGAGAAGAGGATATAAGCACAACAGAAAGAAGCTTAGGGGAGACTAGATCTCCAAAGAGCAGACTAATACTTTCTCTGGTTCGTTTCTCCTGTAGGCTCCAGTGATTGCAGAACCCTATATGCTGCATTTCTCCTGCAGATTGCTACACTTTCACTTATGCACTGAAGCACCAGCTTTCCTGCACCTTAAAACACCCACTATAAATGTAATCTTTGTCACTTAATAAAGGCCCCCCCGGGAATGTAAATGTATTCTTACATTTACATCATAAAAATCATAGAAGATTTCATACACTGTAAAAAGTATTGTTGGTTTAACTCAAAAAATGAAGTAACCTGGTTGCCTTAAAATTTTTAGTTCATTGAAATAGAAAAATATTCCATATTCCATACAGTGTAGCAAAAATATTTTACTTGATCAATAAGAGGGCAGAAGGTAGGAAGCAGATTGTGTAGCAGGTATATCAGCTTCATTATCAGATCAAGTTTTGATCATGTTGAAAATGTATAGGCCCTAGATTTGTGTATGAAATATGATTAAGTAGGATAATATTCAAAAATAGACATTATATTCATTGTTTAACAGGATATTACAGCAAATGTTTCATGTAAGTTATGAGAGAATACAGTGTTTTTAAAATGTTGCATTACATTTTCTAGCATTCATTGGAAAACAAGCATTCTGTTTTCAATCAATTTACACTCAAATGTGTAATGTATCCTGGGAAATACAAACAGTTTAAATAAAAAATAAAAGTCCTGTATTAAAAAAAAAAAAGATTTCCATTACACGAGAGTAGATGTTAAAACTTCACGCTGATTTGTACTTGGCTTTCGCCAAGATAAGCAAAACTAAGACGTAGCTTTACAGTAAACTATGCTTCTCCATCCATTTACACTACTTTCCAAATGGTGGTGTGACTCCCCTTCTGTTCGGCACTAATGGCTGCAGTGTACTTGGCGCGTCAGCATATACGACGGCTGCAACTACAATGTGGTCTCCCTAGTGGATCGACACGACAACTGGATTGAGCAGAGTAGGGGACAACTCTAGGGTCTTCAAGTGGGCACCTTCTGTCCTCAGTGTTTCGTCGACTAGACCACGACACCTCAAGAAGGGTTTGACAGTGACTCTGGCATCCCAGAGTCACCCCCCTCAGTCCCCCACTCAACTCAGCCCAGCTTACTGACCTCTACATCCCTCCTGCTTCTGAGACCTAACCACAATCTCACAATCTTTCCGTAACCCAACCAGGGTTTCCGT